TTTTTTTTTTTTTTTTTTTAAACGGATTGAACTCAGGACCCTGCACTTGCCAGGCAAGCGCTTATTCTACTGTGCTATCTCCCAAGGCCCTGGTGACCAACTTTGATAACCTGTTTAATGGCAAGTTTGCCTGGCTTGACTAAATCCAAGTGACTTGCTGGAGGAAGTCGCAAACAGGCAACTGATGGCCCAGGAACGCAGCTCAGAGGCACGGTGCCTGCATGGCAAGCATAAGGTTCCCAGTTTTGAGTCCCCCAAAAAAACAAAAACAAGGGCCGGCGGTATAGCTCAGCGGACTAAGCTTAGTTAAACGCAGGGGCCAGGGTTCAGTCCTTGGCTCCGCATGCCACGCCGGCCCACCTCCGGGTGCACTGAGTGCGCTGAGCTGGCAACGGAGTCCGGGCGCGGTGGCGTGCGCCTGTAATCCCAGCATCTGGGAGGCAGAAATCAGGAGGATCGCTACTAATGTGGGCTATGTAGTGAGACCCTGAACAAAAAAAAGGAAAAAAAAAAAAAAAAACTTTAGGGGAGCCGGGGAGATAGTTCAGTGGAATAAGCACTTGCCTGGCAAGCACAAGGACCAGAGTTCAATCCCCGGTTCCGCCAACCACCTACTTAGGCTTAGTATTTGTGCTGACGGAAATGGGCATGCACCACATGACGTGTACCACACGCTGCCACGGCCAGCGTGAAGGGCGCGGCCCTGGCAAGCGGGCACATTCAGCACAGCGGCGGCCCTCCAGGCCCCCTTCATAGATCCCCAAATTCATGATGCTGTGGACACCTTAGCCGAGCCAGGAGACTAGGAGTTAAAGCGAGCAAGGCTGCCCATGGAGAGGCAGCGGGGCCCCTGAAGGCCAGCCTGCGGCACAGAATCTGGATGGGCCCGCCGGCTGTCAGCTTAGCATACGAAAGACAGGTGGGTGGGCCTGACTCCCCGGCAGCAGCTGTACCCCGAGTGGTATGGACCAAAGATGAAACCAGCCCCAGTGAAACAAGAGAAACTGACCTGGCTTCCCTTCAGGCCAAAGCACCTAGTTAGTGGGGACCCCGAGGGACTGGAGGCCACACGTACAAATAATTATTTCTTGGCCCCCAAAACACAGAGCACTGGTGCTGAGTCACCACTCATTTCTGACTAATGGGACCGTCTCACAGATCTTCCCTTACCTCAGCGCTTTCTATGCACAGGCCCACGACAGCTTGCCGGCCATGGCGGACGCGGGCTCGCGGGGTTTCTGGCGGGTGTTTATACTGCACTTAGCTATTCTGCTGTGCCTCTAATACCAGATGACCAAGAGGCACAACCTAGGGCTGGGCAGATGTGGCAGAAGCTACTTTCCAGGAATAAGAGAAACAAAAAACCAGTCGCACTGGCACAAGCCCACTGGGTAGCAAACCCTACACTGCCCTTCACCCTAACCGTCAGTATGGCAATGATGGGCCTGTAAGAAGGGGAAGTGGAAGGAGCCTCCTGGATTTTGGCCACAGTTATGGAAAGGAGCCGAAAGCCGCTATTCCCTGGTTGAGAAATGGCTGGCAGCGGTGTATGCTGTGCTGCACACCTGGGAGGGATCGGGGGCAGCAGACAGTGAACCTGAAGACTAAACGCCCCTAGATGCTGGCTGCGTACAGGGACGTCCCCTCCCAGCAGTGAGTGGCTCAGGCCCCTCCTTCACACACTGGGGGACAGACAGACTTGCAGAGCACACCTTGTTCTCCGTAGCCCGTTGTTGGCTAAGCTGGCAAAAGTTGTGGGATCCAGGACTGACAAGGCCCAGGAGACCATGCAGGATGATGGGCTGGATGACACCCAGCCCCTAGGCAGAGGGCAAAGTGGGACCCGCAGCTGATGCCAGGTATACTGGTGGCTCTAGCCACAGTACAACCCCCCAATAGATAGTAGTTACTGTCCAGCCCAGTACAGAAATCTTCCAGTTTAAAGCCAGAACAGGGGGCCGGGGAGATGGCTCAGTAGAATAAGCGCTTGCCTGGCAAGTGCAAGGGCCTGAGTTCAATCCCCGGTTCTGCAGAAAAAAGAAAACGGAGCTGGGGAGATGGCTCAGTGGAATAAGTGCTTCCCTGGCGAGCACAAGGGCCTGAGTTCAATCCCCAGTTCCACCAAAAAAGAAAAAAGAAAACAACAACAACCAAAAAAACCCTAGAATAGGCAGGTCATGAGTGCTCAGAGAGCTGGGCTACACTTCAAGGGCTGACACTCTGAGTACCAACTTGGGCGGTGCAGGACTGGCAGATGGTACACTGACCCTCATGGGGTGCTTATGGCAGGACTTATGGGAGCGTGGCTAAAGGATTAACCATGTAGTGTGTCGTGCATGTCGCAGGGTGTGAGCCCCTCCTCTCACCAGGGAATGGCGTAGCAGATGGCTTCTTTTCCCTGGGGATCTCACCTGCAAAAGCACAGCTCCAGCCCTGACATTCAGGCTGGCCTCAAACTCATGGTGATCCTCCTGCCTCAGCTTCCTCAGTACCAGAATTACAGGCATGCACCACCACGCCTGGCTTGAACTGTACATTTAAAAATAATTAACATGGTAAACTTCCATGATTACATTTTTTTGTATTTAGTTTAGTTTTTGCAAGACAGGGTCTCATTATATAGTTCAAGCCAGACTCAAAGTGCCTCAGGTTTCCAAATGCTGGGATTACGGGTATTACATTTTTCTTTTCTTCTTCTTTTTAAGATTAAAAAAAAAAAAAGGTTCAATTTGCCAGTGTGATAGAGCATTGTTTTCATCCCAACATATTTGAGTTAGCGTGAGATCCTTTCTTTCTTTTCTTTTCTTTTTTTTTTGTGGCTACCTCAGCCCACCCCGGGGGGCGGGGCTGGCATAGCATGTGGTGCTGGGGATCGAACCATGGTCCCTGCGTGCTTGCCTAAGTTTGATTAAACAGGCACTTTAGACTGCTGAGCTATCTCACTGGCCCGAGATCCTATTTCAAAAAACCCTAAATAAATAAGGTTTATCAAAAGTGAAAGTGATTGCGGGCCCTTAGCTCAGCTCTTCAAGTGGCTGCTTCAACAAAGCAGTCAGGCTCAGGCTGCTGTGGTTCAATCCCTACAACTCAAGCCAGCCAAACCTGCCCTGAAGGCATTCCGAACCCCCCCCAAAAAGTGAAAGTGATGGGCCAGGGAGATGGCTCAGTAGAATAAGCGCTTCCCTGGCAAGCACAAGAGCCTGAGTTCAATCCCCGGTTCCGCAAAAAAAAAAAAAAAAAAAAAAGTGAAAGTGAAAAAAAAGGTCAGTCCCTCAGTCACACAATCACACAAGCCACGTTTCAACTGATCAGCAGCCACTCGGGGCTGGCGGCTGCTGGGCTGGATTTTACTTGGGCAGCACTGGTTGCAAAACGAAAAAACAGAACAGCCCCATCATGCTACCCGCAGTAGCTACTTTCACCCCATTACCTCGAGGTTAAAGTCCCTTTTTCTTGCAGTACCAAGAATTGAACGCCAGGGGTGCTCTAACCATGTGCTACACTTGAGCCCTTTTTTCCTGCGTCAGGGTCTCACTAAATTGCCCGGGGAGGTCTCGAAATTGCAGTCTTCCTGCCTCAGCCACCAGGATTGCTGGGATTACAGGCCTTGCCCAGCTGGCTTTTTTCCATCTCCTGAGACTCTTTTTTTTTTTCCCCTGAGACTATTACAGGACGTACTTCATCAATTCATGGCTGCCCCTTTTCTCCTCTGTATGTTACCAAGCCTAAAATCAGGATGCATGTTACCATTTTAATTGACTTTCCAACACAGTCCCATCTGTCTGTCGGCTCAGAGGGGACGGACTCTGAATGCTTCACGGTTTTGTCCCCAGGTCTGACACAGCTGGTCCCTGGCAGCACTCAGTAAACATGGACGAGGCCCAGGCTCTGCTGAGCTGTGCTGAGGCCCTGCTCTTACTTGCTGAGGGACACAGCTCTCCCGCACTCAGGAGGCCTAGCTGGAGGCCCAGCTTGCCTGCTTGCGCGCGCACTGTCTCTCTCTCTCTCCCTCTCGTGGCCATCTCAGCATGCCCTGGGGACCAGGCTGACATGGCACCCTGGGCATTGAACCATGATCCCTGCATTTGCTTAAGCTTCCCTAAGCAGGCTCACTGGGCTATCTCTCTGGCCCCCAGTCCCCCAACTTTCTTGACAGGGCCACACAGCTTGTAGATACTGGCCAGGGTGTAGGGCCCAGGGGACTGATGTATCTCAGAAAAGAGGCCTGGTGTGCCATGGAAGACTCAGCAACTGCAAGGGTCAGAGCTTGGAGTAGTTAGAGAGTTTTAGGTTTGTTCTGGGTCTACGCCACCTGCCCCCTCCTCCTTACCATGCAGGATGAAGAAGGTCTTGGGGTTAAACCTGTTGGGGTCCAATCCATCCAGTTCCTCCCATACCTCCTTCAACTGTGCTCGGCTTCCCTGTGTGGACAACAGCCAGGGGCTTATGAGCAAAGAGCCTGGGTGCCATGGGTTAGAGCACAAAAAACCCTTACCCTTATCCAAAAAAGGTTGTGCGCCTCAATTAAGAAAACTACAGGGGCCGGGGAGATGGCTCAGTGGAATAAGCGCTTCCCAGGCAACGGCCTGAGTTCAATCCCCAGTTCTGAAAAAAAAAAAAAAAAAAAAGGAAAACTACAGGGGCTGGGGAGATGGCTCAGTAGAATAAGCGCTTCTACTTCTTTGCAAGCGCAAAGGCCTGAGTTCAATCCCTGGTTCCACCAAAAGAAAAAAAAAAAGAAAAGAAAGAAAAGAAAACTACAATTCCCAGCATCCCCTACAGGAGTTTGGTAAAATAACTTTTTGCTCTCGAACGTCCTGTGAGTTTTCATTCTAATTACTGTGCTCCTACGGCTTCCAGAGTGTGGCTATGCATGGGTCCTTACAGGCACATTGACTTTGGGGTGCTCCCGGTGCCGGCGCTGCTGCTCTTCCAGTTTACGTTCTGCCTCTTTTCGCTGTTCCTCTCCCAGGGACTCCAGGTACTGGCGTCTCTCATGTTCCTTGAGCATCTCATAGCGTTTAAACTCCTCATGATGGGCCGCATCGTACTGCGCGAGGTCCCGGGTAGCCTGCAGGGAACAAAGATTTGTATAATTTTTGAACCAGCCCAAACGAGGGAAGCCGTTGGCAGGGAAGCTAGCGAGGGGCAGGCCGAGCTGCTCCTGGGACAAGTCCCTTAGCCTGGTCTCATTTCGTGTTCTCCATGGCTGCTCCTGCCCTGTAACAAGCTCCTCTCTCCTCAGAAGAGATTACGATTATCTCAAGACCTGGGCTGCTTGGCACGGTGGTATATGCCTGTAATCTTGGCTCCTGGGAGGCCAAGGCAAGAGAGCTGCTCTGAGTACAAGGCTGGCCTGGGCTACACAATGAGTTTGAAGCCAGACTGAACTATGCAGAGAGATCCTGTCTCAAGAAAGAAGAAAAAGAAAAAGGAAAAAGGAAAAGCAGGGCCTGGGCCGGGCAGGGCTACCAGGCCAAGGGGTAGGATCAGAGCCAAGGCAGCCTGGCACGTTCTCCATGCCACTGTGTTACTCAGACTGGACTTGAACTCATGGCCTGCTGCTTCTGTCTCCCAGAGGGCTGGGATAAACTGCACCTACCAGTCCCTTTTGCCACAAAGCACAGCACAAATTCTTGGATTCGGACATATAGATGGGGGTCATCATTTACCCCATGGCAAGGACACAGAGGTGAAGGTCCCCACCCCTAGTCCAATAGAAGGACCAAGCCAGGGAGGGAGCAGAGCCAGGTCTCAAGGATCTCCAGGCTGTTCTGCCTGTATTTCTTGCTTTCCAATGAAAAATGGGGGTGGGTTATACTGGGGGAGGGTCTTACTATGTAGCCCAGGGTAGCCTCGGACTCATGGAAAGCCTCCTGCCTCAGCCTCCGGAGTACTGAGATTATACATGTATGCCCCACACCCAGCTTCAGGGCAGGCTTTTAGACCACAGCGCTGGGGATGCTTTCAGAGCTGGGATACAGGGCAAAGGTAAAGTGCTTCCTTGCAAGAAAAGAAGAAAGAGAAGGGGAAGATGAAGGGGAGGAGAAAGAGGAAGCAGAGACCAGCAAAGCCTTCCTAGGAATGATCAACTTCTGCCAGGCTCTGCCCAGTCTGAGAGCAGCCTGTGTCCCACCCCATTCCCTTCTCCCCCTTTGCCAGGCTTCTCCTGTGGTTACCCCCACGCCCTTACTGTCTGGATCAGCAGCTCCAGGTCTCGGGCCTCGAACGTGTGCTGGTTCTGAGGGTCCAGGTGCTCAAACTGCTTCAGGAGACTCAGGTGATCCACCTGTACATCTGGGTGAGGAGTTAAACAGAACAACGCTCAGGCTAGGTGGGCTCTAAAGGTGGTCACAGAGGGCAGCAGGTGGCCCTGGGAGAGGGGTGTGGGTCTGGGGCAAACAGGGCGGACGACCCAGAGGAGGGGAACCTGTTACGGAGTCTGATACTCAGGGCCAGCAAGAAAGCTCAGTAGACTAAGTGCTTGCTTAGGCAAGTGCAGTGACCGGGGTTCAGTCCCTGGTACCACATGCCACGCTGGCCCAAGGCCCGCCCCCAGGAGCACTGAGCTGGCCCCCAGGACCAGGCATGGAGGCGCATACCTGTAATCCCAGTGCTGAGGAGCTGAAAACAAGAGGATCACTATGAGTCTGAGCTGCATAGCGAGACCCTACACCAAATACATAAAGGTAAATAAATAAAAAACCCAGGGCTGGCCAAATAGCTCAGCAGATTAAAGCACCTGCAAGCAGGCCCAGGGGCCAGGGGTTCAATCCCTGGGCCTGTCATGCCATCCCCGCCACCAGGGCACACTGAGACAGCAACTGAGGCTGGGCATGGTGGTGTGCACCTTGCGAGGCTGTAAACAGGCAGATCACTACAAGTGAGTGATTTAGTAGTGAGACTCTGAACACCCTGTAGACACTTCCCTAAAATAAACAATCAAGTTGCCAGGTGCAGTGGTGGTACATGCCTACAATCTCAGTGCCCCGGAGGCTAAAACATGAGGACTGCAAAAGTCAGGCCAGCCTAGACGATGTTTTGTTTTTTTTTTTTGCGGAACCAGAGATTGAACTTGGGTCCTTGTGCTTGCCAGGCAAGTGCTTATTCTACAGCTCTTATTCTACTGAGCTATCTCCCTGGTCCTAGACAACTTTTTATTAAGACCCTATCTCAAAATAAAAAAGGGGGAGCGGGGAGATGGCTCAGTAGAATAAGCACTTCCCTGGCAAGCGCAAGGATCTGAGTTCAATCCCCAGTTCCACCAAAAAATAAAAAAACAAAAAAGGGTTTGGGGTGTAGCTCAGTGAGAGAGCACTTGCCTAGCATGCACAAGGGTACTGCAAAACCAACTGAAGAAGTGTGTGTGTGTGTGTGTGTGTGTGTGTATATATATATATCCCCTACAGATGTGTATACAGTTTTTTTTGCTTTGTTTTAAGAGAGGGAGCCTTCATGAACTCTGAGGACAGAAAGAATCGAGGGCAGGGAGATGGGCAGATCCTCTCATGTGTATAGTTTCTGATATGAATGTGAAGAAATTAGAATCACTCTAAGGAAGGCCAGCTTGATAGCTCAGCGGACTAAAGCACCTGCTTAGGCAGAGCACAGTGGTCAGGGTTCAATCCCCGGGGCACACTGAGATGGCGACTGAGACTGGGCGTGGTGGCGTGCGCCTGTAACCCCAGCTCTTGGGAGGCTGCAAACAGGAGAATCACTGCAAGTCCGATCTACATAGTGAGACCCTGTAGACCCTGTACGGGAAATGGTTCTATGGAAGGGTACAGAAAGACAAGCACAGCTGGGCCTGAGGCTCGGCCACAGGGCACTTGCCTCGCATGTGGGGTGCGTATGGTAAGGGTGGGGGAGCCAGCTCCAGCACTACAAAGGTGAATGAATGATCATGATTTTCTCCCCCTGGAACTGGGGGTCCAATCCAGGATCTTTCCAGAGCTACATTCCCAAGTCCTTTATTCCTTTAGTTTTTTGGGGGGTTTTGGTACCAAGAATTGAACTCAGGACTTTGCATTTGCCAGGCAGGTGCTGTGCCACTGAGCTATATTCCCCCCACACACACTCTTTTGAGATAGAATCTCACTAAATCACTAGTTTTTTCAGACTAGATTGAATTTGCAGTCCTCAGCCTCCCATCAGAATGACTGGGGTCCAGTACCATTCCTGGCTAAACAATTACAATGTTTAAAGATTATAGGGCTGGGGAGATAGCTCAGTAGAGTAAGTGTTTGCCTGGCAAGTTCAAGGTCATGAGTTCAATCCCCAGTACTGCCAAAAAAATAAAATAAAATAAAGGTTAAAAATAAACCATGGGGGCTGGTGAGATGGCTCAGTGGTCTAAAGCACCTACTTAGCACAAGCTTAGCAAAGCACAGGGACTGCGGTTCAATCCCCAGCACCACATGCCAGCCAGCCCCGCCCCCTGGTGGGCTGAGCTGGCCACACACACACACACACACACACACACACACACACACACACACAATAAATAAATAAATAAATATTTAAAAAAAATAAACCATGGACTCAGTAGCATAAGTGCGTGCCTAGCAAGCACGAGGTCCCCAGTTTGATCCCCGCCACCATCAAAAATTAAAAAAAAAAACAAAAAAACATGGAAATGAAAAGTAACCTCAGTAATGTAATGATGCAAGGGCGAAAGCACACCTCGGGGCTGGGGAGATGGCTCAGTAGAATAAACACTTCCCTGGCAAGGGCCTGAGTTCAATCCCAGGTTTCGCCAAAAAAAAAAAAAAAGAAAAGAAAGCACACCTGAAGGAGACTGCAGCAGCCTCCTGCCCCTGCCCAGCCCCAGCCCCAGCCTGCTCACTGGGCTCCTGCTTGGCGTCCATCTTGGCCTTGAGCAGCATCCGTAGCCTTGACACCTCCTGTCGCTTCAGCTCATCCAGCTTGGTGCGGACATGGTGGCTGACAAAGTCCAGCTCTCGGCTCAGCTTCCCGCTCTGCTGGGACAGGGAATGCCAGTCAGCTCGACCTATGCTCAGTCCCCTGGCCCACCTCCCAGGCCTGCAGGAACAGGGCCCGGGCCCCAGACCCAGCCTGGCACACTTCACGTTTTTCTTTTTTCTGTCCCCTCTCCCCCTGCCGCCTGGCACACTGTAGATCCCACGCCTGGTCCAGCCCCAGGGTCCTGGGGTCTGCTGTCCCTCCTGTTGGGGCTCTTGCTCCCTTTCCAACTCTTCACAAGGCCCTCGATGTCCCTCAGGGCAAAGCAGCCTGTAATCCCTTTAGCACTCAGGAAGCTGAAGCTGGAGGATCACCATGGGCTACATAGAGAGAGACTGTCTAAAAAGAAACAACGAAAAAGGAGGGAGCAGCACACAGCACAGGGCAGTGGAAGGCTCCCTCTGCACACAGGTCCCCCGGGCCACCTCCACCGGCAGTTCCGCGGCCCTGGCTGCAGAGCCAGCCCTGCTCAGTGCGCCCTTTCTGGACGCCCCCCGCCCATGGCTGTCTCTGTGATGGCTCGGTCCCAAGGGGCTGGGGAGGCCATGCCGGTGACGCACGCACACTCCTCCAGCCCACAGGGAGAGCAACAGGGTGACCACACAGGGCCGGGGTGATCACAGAGTGCTGCAGTCGCAGCCACAGGCGCACACCTGCCAAAGCCACCTTCTAACTCAACAGATGAACACACTGAGGCACCGGGGAAAGGCTCCTGCCCCAGCCCCTAGGTCACCCTGGTGTCACGTCTCCCTGGGGGCTGCATTCACATCCTAATCCATTCTTTTTTTCAATTTGGAAGCAGATACTTTATTAACTGACCAAATCATAAAAACACCAGCGTAGATACCTTAGTTCATCCTTCTAATAAGCCTGTTGATCTGGTCCTCCCTATTTCCAGCCTTCCACCAAATGGGTGGTCTTTTTCTTCATTCCACCTCATGGAGATGATAACTTGAACAGGCACAGGAAGTCATTTGCCTCTTTGAAGCGTTTTCCAACAGTGTAGATCTCATGAATCAGATCCTCCATGCAGATGATGCCATATTCACCAAGAGATCAAGCCATCAACGAGTTATCTGCCAAGGCAATTCGCTTCTTACTGACTGCCGTAGCCACGCTTGTGTACTAGTTCACTCACTGGCTTGAGGATTGGGCGCCCCCACGCAATGTACGGCTCCACGATTGAGGATTGGGCGCCCCCACGCAATGTACGGCTCCACGATTGAGGATTGGGCGCCCCCACGCAATGTACGGCTCCACGATTCTCAGCATGGCAATTAAAGCCTTGTTGAGCTTAACGAAGGTACCACTGAAGATTTGGCGAAGACGAAGAAACGGCAGCACCTTGCGGACCTTTGGGCTCACACCACTGATACTCCTGATGCGGGTGACAAATGCCACTTTGGGCTCTGCAGGACATAGAAGCGGCCAGCTTTTCTCGCCATCCTCGCCATTCAGATCTCAGTTCTGTACATCTGTCTGTGCTCCTTATGACAGTGCCTGGCTTTTTCATAGATGAGCTTCCTTCTCGCCTTGCGAAGCATCTTCTGGGCAAACTTCTTTCTCAGACGCTTTATCTTCAACTCTGCGAAATGTCTTCGCTTTTTCTTGAGGGTTTCTCACACAGCTGGACCCTTCTTTTTCTTCTCTTCTACACCCTCCGTGGTTCCAGCCGGAAAAGAGGAAGTGGGTGCATGTGCCACTAATCCATTATTTATTTATTTTTTTATTTTTTTTGCAGAACCAGGGATTGAACTCAGGCCCTTGCGCTTGCCAGGGAAGTTCTTATTCTACTGAGCCATCTACCTGGCCACCCTAATCCATTTTTTTGAGCCAGATTCTCGCTAAGTAGTTTAGGCTGGCCTTAAAGCTGGGCCATGTACCTCCTGCCTCAGCCTCCCGAGTGCTGGGACTCCAGGTGTGCGCTACCACACCCTCTCCCCCAGATCTGATCCTGCATTCCTGACACAGGTTTCATTACTACTCCTATTTTACAGATGGGGAAACTGAGGCACAGCAAACTGAGTCCCATCTAGGTAAGCACCATCATTGAGACTAGAAGCCACCTTACCAGGCTATGCTCAACGCAGGCATCTAGGTCCCCCAGGTCCCTTCCCAGCTCCATGACCCCAAAAGCTGCCCACTTACAGCCCTGGGTCTCATTCCCGCATCCCAGAGCCTGGGCGCAATTGCAGCCACACAGCTCCTCTGGCCCCAACCCTGCCCCATGAGCCCCTGTCAAGGTACGCCCGCCCCTCTCCACACTTGGCCGTACCTTGATGTCCTCAGCATTGGCAGCCTGCAGCTTCTCCCGGAAGTGCCCGTCCGTCTCCAGCACATTGATGACCTCCTGGAGGTACCGGTGGTAGTACAGACCCGTGTCCTGGATGACAAGGACACGCACATGTAGCAGTCCCGCCCCCACCCTCCTCCAGGTCCTTCCCTAGGGCAGGACCGCAGTGCTGTATGAAAGTAGCTGCTGGGGTGCACGGACTGGGGTTCGATCCCTGGCACCACATGCCATGCCTGCCCCGCCCCCGGGTGCGCTGAGTCGCCCAGAGACCTGGCGTGGTGGCACACGCCCATGATCTCAGCAGTGGGAAGGCTGAAAACAGGAGGATAACGAAGAGTCTAAACTGTGTAGTAGGACCCTGCACCAAATACATTTTTAAAAAAGAAGAAGAAGAAAAAAAGTAGTTGCTGGGAGCCCAGGAACCCGCACAGTTGAAGGCCCTGAACCTCCAGCTGCGGTGTTCAGTTCCTCCCAGGCCTGCAGCGCAGAACTAAAAGAAAATTATGTGGGTGAGAGCTGGTTGTGGAGGTACAGGCCTATAATCAATCTCAGCACTCAGGAGGCTGAGGCAGGAGGACTCCTGAGTTCAAAGCCAGCCTGAGCTACATAATGAGACCCTATCTCATTATCTCAAAACAGAATCTCTTCAGTGTACACTTAGGCCAACACTGCCCACAGAAGGGCGCCTGGAGGTGCCAGTTGGGAACCAGTGAAACACCCATGCATTCATTTCTTCCCTTACTCTGCAACACGCATTGCCAGAGCACGACCACAGGGCAGGCACTGCTGCTGTAGGCTGACGGCAAGGGACAAGACCGAGAGCCCTGGCCTCCTGCCTAATACCAGGCCTCACACTTTCTGTCTGTAAGGCAGGCACCACAATCATGGCCTGGTGGGTGAAATCTAGGGCCACACACCCCAAGCTCCTCATTAAATGGGGCACAGTATCTGCAAAGGACCTGCACAGTCTCCTGGATTTATGTTTATTTAGTGGTGCTAGGGGTAGAATCCAGGGCCTCATGTAAGAGGCAAGTGCTCTACCACTGATCTACATCCACAGCTTTTTTTCTTTTGAGAGTGGGTCTCACTAAGTTGCCAAACTATCCAGGCTAGGGTTGAACAAAATAGATCCTCCTGCCTCAGCCTCCCAGAGTGCTGGGATAACACGCCCATGTGGGTACCACCATGCCTGGCTTCTTTTCTGTTGGCCTAACCTGTTTGCCACTTCAGCACTCAGCTCCTACATGCCAACCATCACCCTGGGTGTCCATGCTTTGAAAGTCCTGTCTTGTCTTCCAGGTCCCAGTGAGGCAGGTTGCCCAAGGTGTGGGGCTTTTGTGCCCTGTGACTGGCACTGTACCTTGCTTGTGGAAGGTGCCTAGGAGAAGGAAGGGGAGGAAGACCCCAGGGGCCCTCTGTCTACGAAGATTTCACAGCTTAGGCCTAACATGCTAGGCAAGGACCTGCCACACAGGCACATAGAGTGCCACACAGGCACATAGAGTGCTCTGCTCCAGGAGGCATCCACAGGCACATTCCTAAGGCAGCCACAGGAAGGATGGGGACACTTGATCTTTGGAGTTCCAGACACTTGATCTTTGAAGTTCCAACTCTGAAGACCAAAGTTCTCATGGAGTTTGATAAACATCTGCTGGAAATAATAAACCATTCACAGTGGGAGTGGTGGCACATGCCTGTAATCCCAGCACTTGGGAGGCTGAGGCAGGAGGATCAATGCAAATTCAAGGACAGCCTCAACCATATAGCAAGACCCTGTCTCAGAACGAACAAGCAAATAATAATGAGCCATTCCCAAGTCCTTTTTTTTAATGTGTCCTTTTGTAATTTTAATTTTAATTTTTTAAAAATGTATTTAGAGTTCAATCCCCAGTACCACACACACACACATACACAAAAAAAGTATTTAGTACCAGGGTCTACAGGGTCTGACTACACAGATCAGACTCAGTTGATCCTTCTGTTTTGCCAACTCCCAGGTGCTGGGATTACAGGTGCATGCCACCACACCCAGTCTCAATCACCATCTCAGCATGCCCCGGGGGCTGGCACTCTGCCTAATAATTTTAATTTTCTGAGACAAAGTCCCACTGTGTATCCTGGGCTGGTCTCCAACTCACAGGGCAACCCTCCTGCCTCAGCCTCCTGAATGCTGAGGTTACAGATGTGTGCACCGTACCTGGCATCCTTTTGTAGTTTAAGCCCACGCTCCTATGAGCTCAGAATACCCCAGGTAACTACCACCAACTGCTTCTGTGTTCCTGGGAAATGGAGTTATCTTGGTTTTGTTTTCATTGTTTTTAACCTCTCTTCCCAATTCCTCCTTGGATGGGGAAGATCTTGAACAGAAAGGTTTGGGTGAGAATGATGCATTTTTTCATTTACTATCTGACTTGGTTTTCTAATCTAAGAGCCGACCTCCACATTTTCACCAAATCACCCGCCCCTCCGCAGGCCCCGTATTGCAAACTACCGCAGGAGAAGGGCCTGCTACAACTACAGGTTGGAGATCCTGGAGTGTCCCTGGGGCTCCGGGAACGCGGGGACTGCATCCCTGGGTGCAGGCGGGGCCACTCACCGGGCTCTCGGTGGCGGGGCTCGGTTCCTGGTTCGCAGCGGCCCGCTCGATGGGCACGGGCAGCACGGCCGGCAGCCACAGCAGAGGCGACAGTAGGACGACGAGGACTCGGTGGAGCGCGGAGGGAGGCATGGCGCGCTGTGAGGGAGGCGAGGCGGGTTGTGGATGATTCCGCTCCGGGTCCTGGGCCCAGGGCCGAGGGCCCAGCTCCCCCTCCCAGGGATCAAGACACAGCGCGTTTCGCCACCTCTCCCAGGCCTCTCACCTTCCAGCGACACACAAGCCCGGTACCCACAGCGCAGACTCCAACACCCTCCTCAGGCCTCAGCTCCTCTTTCCCCAGGCCCTACAAGTACTGTCACCTACCCACTCCTCCTATAGCTCCTGGGATCCCCGCCCCCCGGTCACCCTCTTCCTGGTATCCAAAATTCGGAGACCCCAACCCCTTCACCTACCCTCTACCACTGAAGGCGGTCTCCGAGCGAGGACCTCCGCGGCGTCTCTGGCGATTTCCTCTGAGGCCACGCCCACTTTCCTGAACAGAACCCGCCCCAGAAACTTGATTGGTCCTTTCACCCGCCTAGTGGCCCAGCCCCTCAACGAAAGCTCCGCCTCCTGGCTGGAAATGCGCCTGACGCAACACTTCTTCCTGCCTTTTAGGCAGAGGGCATCCGGGACCTCCGGGGGCAACTGCAGCTCGGTGCAGGCCAGGAAAGGAGACAACGTCTACGATCACCTTGGCCCCTTTGCTTCATGGGAAGTGTAGTTTTCGAATTTATTTTCCCTCCCCAAGAGTCTGCAAGTTAAAGTTTAGTCTGTGGCAGTTCCATAGCCCATATTATCTTTTTTCCTTTTTTTTTTTTTTTTTTTTTGGTTGGTACTGGGGAATTGAACCCATATCCTTCACAGTGAGTTATATCCCTTTATCCACCTCCCTGTTTAGGCCTTTAAAAATACAGTCTCAATAAGTTGTTAAGGGGCCGGGGAGATGGCTCAGTAGAGTAAGCGCTTGACCGGCAGATGCAAGGATCTGAGTTCAATCCCCGGTTCCATCAAAAAAAAAAAAAAAAAAAAAAAGTTGTTAAAAATTTTAGCATAAATAAATAGTTAAATTGCGTGAGCTGTTTGTTTTTGTTTTTGTTTTCCATACCAGGGCTTGAACTCAGGATTTTGCGCATGCCAGGCAGGTGCTTATGCTACTGAGCTGGCTCCCTGGCCCTCTCAAGAGTGCTGTGTTCGGCCGGGGAAATAGCTCAGTAGAATAAGCGCTTGTCTGGCAAGTGCAAGGGCCTGAGTTCAATCTCCGGTTTAAAAAAAAAAAAAGAGGGGGGCCAGGGAGATGGCTCAATGGAATGAGCACTTCCCTGACAAGTGCAAGGGCCTGAGTTCAATCCCTGGTTCCGCCACAAAAAATAAATAAATAAATAAAAAGTGCTGGGTTCAAGTGCCTGGTCCTGGTTGGCAAGCATAAAATCCTGAATTCAATTCCCGTGCTTAGACTACAGGCAGGTGCCACCACACAGGGCTTCTATAGGCGAGTTGGGGCTGAAAGTGGCAGTCCCTGTCTGTAATCCCAGCACTCAAGAGACTGAGGTGGAGATCTTTGCAAGTTTGAGGCCAGCCTGGGCTACATAGAGAGACCCTAGACCCTATCTCGACATCCCAGGCCCCACCCAATGCTGAGCAAGTCGTGTAGGCGATCCCTCTTTGTTCCCTTTAAGGAACACCCATGTGCAGTTCTAATCCAGAACCCCTGCAGTGGGTTGCCTGGCCGGGTGGGGCTAGGGGTCATTGTTGGAAGAGGAGCCTGGTGGGCCAAGAGGAGAATCAGGACGGGTCCGTGGGAATTTCCCCTCGTTCTTAGCCCCTTTTCTTCCCCTGGAGACTTGGTCCTCAGCTTCAAAGAGAGCGTCCGGGATGTTTAGAGCCATATTGGCCAGAGGCAAGGCAGCCATCAAGGCGTGAACAACGTGAGTAGCTCTCCAGACAGCAAAAACTAAGCAATGCTCTGGGTCCCAGGTAGAGGTCGGCAGGGGGCCTGTGGGGCGACATGGGCCTGTTGCATGGGCACCAGGGTCCTGAGTTGGAAACTGGAAACAGACTTCTGGGTCTCAGGCAGAGGGTGTGCTGGGTTTGGGCTTCCTGAGTCCAGGACAAAAACAAAAGCTTGGAGCCAGGTGTGGTGACACATGCCTGTAATACAAATGTTAGGGAGACTGAAGTAGGAGGATCTCCCCAAATTCAAGGCCAGCCTGAATGACATAAGAGAGACCCTGTCTATAAAAAGGAAATCTTGGCCAGAGGTGTTGGAGGGCAGCACGCACTGAGATGCTGGCTCTGGGTCCTGACTCCTCCTCACGTCTCCTCCTGGGTCTGGACTCCTCTTCAAGTCCCAGGATGTCTCAAGAGACCGACTTTTGGATGAAACAGTGAGTGGGGAAGCCGCAAGAGCTCCGTGATGGAGATGGAAGGGGTGGGGGAGCTTAAAGCTTGCTAGTACTGGCCGGTGATATAGCTCAGCAGGCATAAGCACGTGCCTTGTAAGCGCAAGGTCCTGAGTTCAATCACCGGTACCAAATAAACTTTCATTCCCCCTGTGCCTCCTGACCACATGTGGGGGTGCTGGTGTGGGAGCAGAGATTGAGAAGGTCAGAGGAGGCTCTTGTGTGTTTGCCTTCTATGACCTCACAGCGCTCAGAACTCCCTGGTCAGGGAATGAAGGGGTGCTGGGGAGGCCAAGAGCCCTGCAGGCTCTCACCAAGGATCTGACCTGTGTTTCTCCTGAAGGCCTCTGACGGAGGAGCGCACTGCCCTGAGGTTGCACAAGCTGGATCAGCAGGTACTGTCCAGCGCAGTGTGTGTGGGGGAATCAAATCTCCAAAGAGCCCCACTTAGGGCCCCAGTTTTGGGTCTCTACAAGCATGGTGGTGCTGTCTGGATCTCAAGTCCTTCAATTAGGAAATCATGAGAACTGGGATTTTTTTCTTTTTTTTTTTTTTGAGGAGCTTGGTACTGGGGATCAAAGAATTGGGATTTTAAAGAAGTAAATCAGGGCCGGGGAGATGGCTCACTAGAATAAGCGCTTCCCTGGCAACTGCTAAGGGTCTGAAAGAAAAGAAGAAGAAAATCAGGTGATGAGACTCCAGGATTTCTAGAAACGATGATTCTACAAGGCAGGATGTTTGTTTTTGTTTTTGTTTTTGTTTTTGATCAAGTCTCCACAAGAAAAATTTACAGTAATCCCCCCTCTCCCCTCCCCTCCTGCCTCAGCCTCCCAAATGCAGGATTACAGTCGTGCACCACCATGCCTGGGTTAGAACTTCTAGATCCTAGGAGATGATTGGGTGTTAAGACTTTTGGACCAGAATATGGCTCTAGGAACCAGGCACCACTTGAGGAAGCTGTTCTCAGACTCCATTTGCCCTGTAACCCCTGTCTCTGTCTTCCGTTCGGGACCCCAGTGCCCCATTTGTCTTCCTGCAGCGGCAGCTATTTGAGAAGAAGCAACGACGGAAGCGCCAAGAACCACTCATGGTTCAGGCCAATCCAGATGCTTCTGCGGGGTACCGGCGACTGCAGTCGGAGGGCTTTGCTAGCTACACAGGTGGGAACGTTTGTAGGCGTAGGGGCGTGGCCTAGAGGGTTCCTGAGGGGCGGGACCTGGGCTCCAGGGTGGGAGGCAGAGGAAACAGACCGGAGGGATGAGGGGGTGGAGCCTGCTGGAGTGGGGGCGGGGAGCACAAGGAGGAGGGCAAGGAACGGGGATCCGAGGGGAGGGTGAGGGGAGCGCTCACAAGTGTTCAAAGCTTGTGGAGGTCCTGGCTAAGTGATTTAGACCCCAGGTCCTAGAAGAATGTGAGAGTCCATATGGTCTTTTGTTGTTGTTTGAATTGGAGGGTCTCACTACACAGTTCAGATTCATGGTGATCCTCCTGTCTCAACCTCCCCAGCGCTGGGAACAGGTGTGAGCCACCACCTTCCTTCCACTTGCCATGCACTTAGACCTCTGAGCTATCTCCCCAGCCGGTGTGGATTGGTTTTTTGTTTTGGTTTTTTATCAAGCACACAATAATTTAATGGAAGGGCTGTCCTGATTTGATGCTTGGGATAGAATCTGGGTTCAGAATCAGAGTTATAGTGTTCAGAAAATCCAGGCCAGGGGCTGGGGAGATGGCTCAGTGGAATAAGTGCTTCCCTGGCAAGCACAAAGGCCTGAGTTCAATCCCCAGTTTTCTGGAAAAAAAAAAAAAAAAGGTAAAGAAAATCCAGGCCAATAATCAGAGCCCTGATCTTCACGGAGCACCAGGGTTTGTACCATGTTTCCACGAGCCTTGTTGCGTACCTTCTTACAGGACCTGCTCTCCAAGAATGCGTGTCAGAGCTACATCCGGACTCTGATATCCACAGTGCCTTGTGCACCTCCGTGAACTGTAGGAGAGATGGCACCAGCAAGTGCTGGGCTCTGGGCTGGCCTACACAAGCAGGTAACTTCAAGGCCCAGAGCCCCTATCTCCCACAATTCTACCTTGTGAGGACGACCAGAGATAGAACCCCCAATCCTGGTTCTCCAACGCCCACCCCCCTCCCCTGGAAGAGGTCAGGTCGCTAACATCCTCATCCTGCCTCTTGAGTCCCGGTCTCTGGCTCTTTCTCCCAGTGCAGGTTTAGGATCTCAGCTCTCCAGCTCCTCCCCAGCCTGGTCATGGGGGTCTGCCTGGCCCCTGGTGCATGTGACAAGTTCGTCCTCTCCTTTAGTGACAGCTTTATTGAAACATAACTCTGAATTACTTTACTTTTTTTTTTTTGTCAGAACCGGGGATTGAACTCAGGTCCTTGCGCTTGCCAGGGAAGCGCTTACTCCACTGAGCCATCTCCCCGGCCCCCTGAAACACAACACACACGCCATACCATTCAATTATGTACAGTACAGAATTCCATGGCTTTTTCTCTGTTCAGAGTTCTGCAACCAGTACTGCAACAGTTTTAGAAATTATTCATCATGCCAGGCCTGGTGGCACATACTGGGAATCCTAGCACTTGGGAGGTTGAGGCAGGAGGATTACCATGGGTTTGAAGCCAGACTGGGCTACATAGTGACATCAAGGCCAGTCTGCACTATATAGCAAGACCTTGACCAAAAAAAAAAAAAAAAAAAGCCAGCGAGATAGCTCAGCGGTCTAAAGCACCTGCTTAGGCAAGTGCGCAGGGACCATGGTTTGATTCCTGGCACCACAAGCCACACTAGCTCCACCCTCAGGGCAGGCTGAGCTGGTCACAAAAAACAAACAAAACTCCACAGTCTAAAGTGCCTGCTCAGGCAAGCGCACAGGGACCAGGTTCCAACCCCCAGCACCACACGCCATGCCAGCCCTGCCCCAGGATGGGCTGAGCCAGCCACAAAAAAAGAGAGAAAAAAAAACCCACAATTATTCATTATTTCAAATAGAAACTTTGGCAGTCACTCAATTAAATGCCTATTCATGTAACTGGAATCATACAATGTGGACTTCTTTGGTCTGGCTTCATTTACAAAGCAAATTTTAAAGGGTCATCTGGGTGGCAGTATTACAGGAAAACCATTTTTGTTATAATTCCATAGCCAAGATTTTTACAATAGCATTACCTGGTAGCTCCTTCTATTCAGTTGAATAGCCACATGGGCAACCAACCATCCATGAGAAAAGGTTCTCTAAAGATAAAATGTAACCCTACTATTAGGGAAAAAAAGAAAAAAAGAAATAGCTATGCCAGAAGCAAAAAAAAAAAAAAAAAGACTGACATTTGATTTTTTTTTTTTTTTTTGGTGGAACCAGGGATTGAACTCAGGCTCTTGAGCTTGCCAGGAAAGCGCTTATTCTACTGAGCCATCTCCTCAGCCCTGAAATAAAACTTTGTTCACATAGCTTTTCATTCAGTTGAATAGCCACATGGACATGGACACGGTAGCTCCTTCTAAAAGTGGCTCGCCAATAAATGTTATCAGGTTTCATGGTACTTGAGTCTCCTTCTGGAGTTGGTTTCCACATTCTTCTTGTCTTTAGCAAAGAATTGGATAAAATGAGTGAAAAAGGGCCGGAGAGCTAGCTCAGCGGTCTAAAGCACCTGCTTAGGCAAGCTTGGGCAAGCACAGGGGACCACAGTTCAATCCCCAGCACCACATGCTGTGCCAGTCCTGCCCTCAAGGTGGGCTGAGCAGGCAAATAAATAAATAAATAATGAAAAGCAGAAGCAAAGTTGATTTGAAAAAGTAAAAGTTAAGAGTAAGAGAAACACTGAATCTACAGAGGAACTTGGGTCAAGTAAAGAGGAAATAAGATAAAGGTACACACTGGAGGCTGAGCAGATAGCTCAGCGGTCTAAGCACCTACCTGGAAGCGCAAGGACCTGAGTTTGATCCCTAGTACGGAGGACCAAGTGCCAGGGCCCTGAAGCTGGGTGTGGTGGCTCACACTGGTAAT